CCAGCCACTCCTCAGAAGGAAGATTGGGCAATCTACTTCTGTAGAGATACTGCCTTGGAAACCCAAGGAGGGGTCACTATGAGTTGCATTTGAGTCAGTGGCAGTAAGTTTAGTTTTTTTGGTTTATTTCCTAATTTTAGAACTTTATGAAATATTTTATAGCCATGATAAAGCATACACACTCAATTGTTTTTAGTAGGAGTTTGGACAAAATAGTCTAGATAAAATCCATTTGGGAAAAATAATATCAACCCTACTATAAGATTAGAAGCTGTGGTAGCATAGTGCCTAAGGCACTTGACTGCTTACCAGAAGGCTGGCAGTTCAAACCCACCAGCCACTCCTCAGAAGGAAGGTTGGGCAATCTACTTCTGTAGTGATAGTACCTTGGAAACCCAAGGAAGGGTTGCTATGAGTCGGGTCCAACTCAACAGCACATAACAACAGCAACACTATAAGATTATTTTTAGAAAAAAAATAAATAGTTTCATTGAAACTTTTATGCTTGAAGAGCACAAAAATAGTAAAAACCTGGTAGTCTTTTGGCAATGGAGTTTTAGAGATATCAGGACTTGGTGATGGTAAGAATTTACTAACAATGAAGATAATGAGGATGATATATGTGTAGTTAGCACTTGCGGTTCTCAAAATTCTTTTCCAATTATTGTCTTATTTGATCCTCATAACTCTAGGAAGATAGGCATTATATAAGCAGAGTTATTGCCATAGTTTTGTCTTACAAAAATTTGAATTATAGTAGAGTTTGTTGTTGTTATGTGCCGTCAAGTCGGCCCTGACTCATAGTGATCCCTCCTTGGGTTTCTGAGGCAGTATCACTACGGAAGTAGATTGCCCCATCTTCCTTCCGGGGAGTGGCTGGTGGGTTTGAACCACCAGCCTTCTGGTTAGCAGTCAAGTGCCTTAGCCACTATACTACCAGAGCTCCCATAGTAGAGTAGATACCTGATAAATTTCATGGTTGATATTTGATAAAGGGGCCAGAATTTAATGTTAATATGATAGATTATATGTTATTTAAAACAAGTGGAATAAAGTTTGGTAGTATCAAGTATTTGTTAAGACATGCACAGAGAATAGAAAAAGTGTATAAATTGAAAATGAGGAAGATATTTTAAGTGTAACTGGGAAAGGTACAGAAATTAACCTTTGGACTGGACTCAACAAAATTACGTTTGTTGATTACCAGGCTGCTCAGAGGCTTTAATAATATTAATTGAAGGATTCTATCTCTTCCATTTTTATCTGACCACAGATTTGGGTGCTGTCATCCCAAGGAATTTACTTTGGGAGACACCAAAATTTAAATATTCTGCTATCAAATGTGTTTCTGCTAACTTAGTAAAGATATATTCATTAACTGTTGCTCTGTTTATTTTTAATTTTATATATAAGTTAAATTTAAAATAATTGGAATTTTGGTTTTTTAAATCATGATTGAAGAATGTTGTTTATGGTTTATCAAGTAACAGCATATTTGGCTATGTTAAAATATATATTAGCCGTGATGGCTAAAGTAGCGTCTTTCTTGGGCTTTGTCTGTGTTTATAACTGGTCTGTTCTTTTTCTTTTTTGTGTAGGTATGCCCTTATATGTCAGCAGTGTTTTTCTCATAATGGCATGGCTTTGAAGGAAGAATTTGAATATATTGGTAAGAATTACTGGGCAGTTTGATTTAAAGTATTTTACTCTTAAATATTTTATCCTATGTCATTTTCTATATAATGTCAATTTACTGTAGTTACTATCTCTATATATTGGTAAGGCATAGTTTTCTTATTTTAGCACTTCAAGCAAAACAGGGAAGACAGTTCAGGTTTCTTCTTCATATAATGCATAACATCTAGGTAGTTGTTCTCAAAGCTCACTGTGCGTCAGAATCCCCTAACAGCTATTAACATTTATGATGCCCACGGCTTAGCTTTTCATAAGGTTTTCACTGGCCAGTTCTTTGAGAAGTGAATTGCTTCTTCCTTCTTCTGAGTCTGTCTCAGTCTGGAAACTCCATTGAAACCCATCTACTATAGACAACCCTGTTAGCGTTTGAAACAAAAAAAAAAGGGGGGTGGGGAAGGCCCTCAACAAGATGGATTGACCCAGTGGCTACAATGATGGACTCAGGTATAGCAAGTATCATGGGGCTGGCACAGGACCGGGCAGTGTTTCATTCTGCTGTACATAGGGTCACTGTGAGTCGGACATGACTCAATGTCACCTGACAAGAACAATAGCTTAGCTACAAAGAATAGGATTTGACTGATCTAGTGTAGTATCTAGGCATATGCATTTTCTTTTCAGCTCCAAAGATGATTCTTATGTGTTGTTGTTATGTGCCGTAGCTACTATTAAAAAGTACTGCACTAAACTAATTATGCTTCTGAATGATGACATAACACATTTTAGATTTTGACATGAGCAAAGTTCTGGATATTTAAAATACCTAATAATTTTAGTGAGTAGATCATTATTAATATTGCTTTGCTATGAATTAACCTTCTGTGTAACTTCCTATGCCTTTTCTGCTTTAAAGTTAGTATTCTAATAATAATTAGAAAATATACTTCAGAATTAGCTTCTTGTAAAGCATGTGTCATAATAATATTTAAACAACATTTGACTTTTAGAAGGTGTAAATAACTTTTGAAGAGTTCTTTAACTATTTGTAACAGTAACCTTGTAAGTTATCTAATTAGCTCTTGAATTCTCTTGGATTTTTTTATTTTTTAATTTTTTCTGTAGCCTTTCGATGTGCCTACTGTTTTTTCTTGAATCCTGCAAGAAAAACCAGACCCCAGGCTCCAAGACTTCCAGAGTTTAGTTTTGAGAAGAGGCAGGCAGTGGAAGGCTCTGGTTCAGCTGGTCCCTTGCCATCAGGAAATATGCTTCCATCAGAAAACCAACTCAGTGAAGGTATGAATATATTACTTTATATGTTTTATTTATGTGAGAATGGATTCATTTATAAGATTTTGCAGCATGCTTATATCAGCTTTTGCTCTGATAATGTGGTCTTCTGCATGATTGTTATGATGTACCTCAGTTTTAAAATGGAGGTTATACTGGAATAAGCAGCATCTAACAGCAGCTAGGTAAACATTGTTTATGGATTGACCTTTTGTAATAAATATTGGGAAATTTGACTAGTGATGTTTCCATGGAATCTTTTTCAAATTATCTCAGTGAAGCAGATTGAGAATAATGGAACAACTACTCATAAAGATAAGATTCTTGTAAGATTTCTGTTTAACATTGATAAGATAGATTTGCATCTACCACTTGAATTGGTAGAAATTCCCAGAAACAGAAAACTTTAGAACTGGAAATTCATCCTTGCATAGGACTAATGTTCCTTTGAAACAAACAATTTTATAATAAAGAGGCCCATGAGGTTAACATTCCTGATGATGAAGTGAATGCCTTTGATATTTAACAGAGTTTATAGATTTTAGAATTCATCTTGCAGTTGTCTTAGGAATTCTTGAGGTGGTGTCATGAAAAATCAGAAAAGGTGAGATAGAAGATCTGACTATTAATTGCCACCTAGTTCTTGCTGTTCACATTCGGTCATGAGTATTATTTTTGTTAAGCCAATGGAGCTGTTTATTAAGCAGTTTGGAATTACGATTTTTAAAATTATGGAACAGGCTATGATATTTTGGTGTTAAGCCTTGTATATAAGTTTATCTAGTGAGTCAATATTCATCCTTTTAATTTCTCAGAATTATCATTTACATATATTTGATTTCTTTGTAAAAGCATTGAGTGTTGCTGAAATTGCTTTAACTGACAGTATATGAGGCAGTAAACTTTTCAGATGTCTGAAGTTTAGTATGAGAATTTGAATATATTTATGTATTTTTTTATGTGTGTTAAATTGGGCTTGGCTTTTGGCTTACTAACAAATATAAAAATGAATTTAAATCCAGATAGCCATGGCAGAGGCTTGTATATTTCCAGCACTGAGTCAATGCATTCATCTTCTCCAAGTCTGCAGCATCAACTCCAAAAACGTCAAAGATTTTCTTTTGCTTGAGTCATGCTCTGAACTGCATGCTGCCACACACAAACCGTCTTGCCTTGCCAAGACAATCTCTTGGAACTGAAAATGAAAGAATTTTCATACAGAAGAAGCCTAGAGGAAAAATTGAAGTCCATCCCCTGTGTAACCTTGCTTTTGAAAGCTAAAGTGAATATTTGAAAGCCAATAATAGTTGGGACCAAATAAACAAACAGCCAACAAAATAAAAGCTTTTGATAGTGAATCCTATGCTTTATACCTTCTGCTAAAGTCGAGATGGGTAGTTAGCAAACAACACCCAGCTCTGCCTTTCCTTCTCATCTAATCTAGGAGGAAAAATACCCCAGATGTCTCATTTTCTGTCTGCAATCTCCGGAGTGAAGTCTAACTGGCTCAAACTCAACCCCAATAAGGTAATGTTAATAAGTGAAGACAAAACTTGAGTCAGGGTCTGATAACTCCATAGTGCTGGAAACTGAAGCAACAATTCCATTTGATTAAGATAGTCTCTAAAGTAGTAAGTTTCTCATACTCTCTTTGGATTCATCAAAATGGCTATGAGCACCCTTTTTCTTCTTTGGCTTTCCAGAAGACTGAAACTTTTCTCCGAGACTCCTATCTCAACACTATGATACACAGTTATCATTTCCAAGCTGGATTCCTTTAGTAAATGACTGGAAGCATTTCAGTTGAACAGATGAAGGCTGCATTTGTTTTGAACTTCAGCGGCATACTTTATGGTTAAATTGAACTATTAAATAAGATTATATCATCCCAATCATCTACTCTGTGCCAACAACCAGTGTAATTAGGGGCTTGATTTCTGATTTCTAAATTCTTGAATGATTTGGAAACTTGAGGTCTGAAAAAACAGTTTCTCACTTGAAGTTTTGTTCTTTTTGAAATGTTGAATTCCTTAATAGCTGTAGGAACTGTAGAGATTAATTATGGAATTTGAAGATGGAAAAACAGGTAACTCCTTTATCCGAGGTTTCTTTTCGGTGAATACTCAGTAATCATTTATATGAATAATCTAGATTAAATGATAGCAGCATTTTTTTTTTTTTTTTAAATCTAAAGTTTGTCTGGATTCTGGTACTGGAAGATTTTGCATTTAGGATGAAGTACAAGACTTTAAAAAATTTTGGACCATGCTTTAGAAAAACATGTGGAATCTTGGAAAGTTTTTCATCAAAGAAGAAAACCTAGAAGAATTTCTCATTAATTGCTCATTTGAATTCCTAGAATTTTTTCTAGAACTGTATATCCAGATGCTTTGGTATTAGAGAAAGACAAGCAATTAGGAATGTGGATTGTCTTTTTATCTGAGAGCATAATAGATAGAATATGCCAAAGTAATGAATTAATTGCTCTTAGGTTTCTCAGTTTCTTTTATGGTTAAGTGAGTAGTACAGTAATACTTGAATCTCTGCTAAGTCACATTAAAGTGGTTTATCAATTTTGCCTTAAATTTTTTTTTTTTAATATATAGTTTCCAAAATACCTATTATAGAGCATTATTTTTGTTAGATGTGATAGTCATTAGAGTACTATGTTTCTACTTTGTTAATAAACTATCACTGTAATATCTGCGTAGGATGTTTAAAGAACTTTAATACTGTGTTCTCAATGCTCAGTTTTCTAAGTCTAGGTGTCATATATGTTTTAGTAGAAAATGGCTTTTATTCAACTGGAAATAATTTGTTAATAATGAAAGTAATGATTCATCTTATCAATATTATTAAAATAGAAGGTGAAATTTATCTTGGTAATCTAATTGCAGCTTTATGTTCTTTTCTTTAGACAAAATACTTGTTCCATTAGGTTGTTGAACTAGGGAAAATTCTGTTTTCAATACTGTTTGTTATGTTGCTCTAAGAAATTGAATTACTTGAGAGTGTAAATTTTGTTGAATTATGTATATTTATCAGGTCCATGAACTTATACCTTTGTTTATATTAAATTATATGGAGCTTTCCCAAAATATAAACTTGCTTGCAGTATGTTTTTGTATGCTTGTTTTAGACATAGAGATCTGGTCTTCTGACTTCTTTTTCTAAAATACGTTCACCTAATAGTTTAGTTAGAGATCGTTGCTTAATAATGAAACCTTCACTTGTCTCATTTGTTACACCAATGGTAAATAACCAAACAGTATTCTGTATGTTGAATACTAGCTATTTTCTAATAGGTGGTTATAATTTAGTTGAATTTTATTCCTTGGGCTTTGTGTTGGGATGAAATTCATGCCTTTGTTCCTTAAATATAAGTTGGCTATTTTCCTTAAGGCAGGAAAATCTTGTAAAAACTGCCTTCTTTAAAACCAGTAAGTTCAAAGACAAATTGTCAGTTTTAATTTAACAAAGTTCCTTTGGCTAAGTTTTATAGTCTTCACTATAGTGTGTACTGACTGATGTGTTAGCAAGGTCTTTTTTATTTTTATTTTTTTTTTGCTATTGTAAAAAGGAAGAAAAACAAGACTCTAAATGAATCCACCAAAATATTAAGGTTTCTTAAAGGTTTAATCTACATGACAGCAGTATTGACATATTACATGTTAACATAATTTTCCTGTGGAAATACATGAAGAAGTTGTTTTGCTAGACTGTTCTTTAATTTTCTTAGGAAATTACTCATTCAAGTGATAGAATAAAAACCTAAAGGTAAGGTGATGTTATTATGTGTTTTTCGCATGTGTGTGGTTTATAGGTGAGGTGGTGGTATTCATTATACAATTACACTCAGTTTTATGAGTTTGAGCTGTCTAGCTGAGGCTTTGCCCAAACAACTAGAAGCCAATTGTTACTATTTGGTAGAAAAAACTTTTTCAAGAATATTGGGATGGGAAAAGGAACAAATACCATGGATCATTTTTGTTTTATTACTTTGCAGTGTTTTGCTTTCTTGGCATTACAAATGCCAAAGTCCATTTTAAAAGATTTTCTTACAGATGGAATTAGGTCATTCAGGTAACTTTGTTCATATCTTAGTCTTAAAAGGGTGCTTTGCAAGGAAGAATAGACCCATTTAATTAGTGTGAATACAAGGACTAGTTTCTCTTTTTAGTGTTCTATGTCCAAATGTTAACATCTTCTTAAATGTATTTTATACCACCAAGCTATTTTAAACCACAGCTTCACTGGGAAAATGTACTGTTATTATTAGAATAGGCAAATGATGCTCTCCCACAGAAATAAAATAAGTGCTTTTGGAATACATTAAAGAATTTTATTATATAGCTCTGTGGTTTAGTTATTAAACTGATGTGTAGTTCTCTGTTAATCTTGAACACCTAGCTCATTTAAATCTTTTTTGGATAACTTCTTTACAAAATGGCATTGGTATCCAAACAAGAAATACTGATCTCATGCAGACTAGCAGATGTCTGCATTAAAGGCTTAAGTCACATATCAGTTTTTTGTAGTGTTAGTGCTATTAAGATTTACTATGGTATTCTGCAAATTAACCTGGAGGAAGAAAAGTGGTCATTAATAGGCTTTTTGAGTATCTTAAAGTCCCATTTGTCATTTCACTATTTTACTCTTCTATATACTTTCTGAAAGACAATACAATATTGAATTGCAAATTTTGTATATCATGTTGCTTTTTAATTATGATAGTACATGATTCACTCGCTTTTTTTTTTTTTAAATTCATGTATTTTAGACATTAAACATTTTCAGTATTTTAGTTCTTGTTGTATTAGCTACTACGTTATGGACCGACCCTAGAATTACTGAATTAAATTATCTTTGACTAGTAATGTATGTGTTTCTAAAAATGGTAATGCCACAAAGCTTTAATATGATCAGCTGTACACTTTGATACCTCTCCTGTTTCAGTATGGTGCTGAGGAGTCTATCAGAATATGGCAAACTATGTGGGTCCATGCTCACTTTAAACAAGTTTTTTGTTAAGTTCTGGTTTCAGAGTTTTTTGGTTTTTTGTTTCTTGTAGCTTTATTGGTTTGTTGGAGAAGACTTACTAAACTATAACAAATTGTGAAGTTCTTGGCAAGTAAGTGTTGCTCTATGGTCTGACTGGAAATTCTACTCTGGCTAAAGGTAGAAATGAATGGCTGGTGGCTCCTTACTTGTTCCACTGAAGAACTTGCTTTTGAGTAGAAAGGATTTGTGGGTGTCCGTAGAGTTAGGAGCTCTGGTAGCATAGTGCCTAAGGCACTTGACTGCTCACCAGAAGGCTGGAGGTTCAAACCCACCAGCCACTCCTCGGAAGGAAGGTTGGGCAATCCTACTTCCGTAGTGATACTGCCTCGGAAACCCAAGGAGGGGTCGCTATGAGTTGGGCCGACTCGACAGCAAACAACAACATAGAGTTTCAGCCCCATCTTCTGGTTTTCCTTTGTGCAATAGAACATTCAACTAGCAAAACTCGAATGACCTATCCCTTTTCTACCTTGGATTTTTATAAGATCATAAGTGATGTAATAATTACATTTTTAGTTCGATATTCAGATGCAAATAAGATTTTTATGACATTTATCAAAAGTATCATAATTTGTGGATTCTTCTGACTGCTTTTCCTAATCTTGTGAAATTTTCATATAGTAAAACCTCATTAACCTGGATATCCTTAAGTGGGAATTTGGATTTTTTATTTTATATAGAAAAAGGGGAAGGCACCTGTAATTAATTCTGTAAATTAGAGTCCAAGGTGTCGGTTTAAAGGAAATTATTTTTTAAAAATATTTCTAAGGTCTTTGATATAGAATGTTTGATAAGTAAGTGTTTTATATTTATTAAAGTTAGTATGATAAAACCATGGACTTATAATAAGACCTCTATGTTAACATGTGTGAATATAGTAATTTTTTTTTAACAAAACTAATATTTTAATTTTTGCAAAACTCCAGTCTATGCTATACAAAGCACTTAACTGGCTTGTTACAAATGTAGGCTCAAGAGTTTTTTTTTTTTAATTTGTAACATTTCTAGTGTATCATAAGGGATCTTCTATGAGGATATGAAAATATGATTTTTAGCTTAGCTAATGTGGTTTAGGAGCCCTGGTAGCATAGTGCCTAAGGCACTTGACTGT